AAAAAAGTCAAAGAGAAAAACGGCAAAAAAGAAGGAAAAGTAATTCTATTTGGATTTCTTCTTCTAACATTTTCGAAACTCATATTTTTTCTTTTTTCGTTAGCTTTCGTAACGGTAAATCACGAAAAAAAGTGTACGTCTCTAATAGATTTGTAAATGGAGATTATTTTGGTAAGTTCTTCAATTTTTCGCATCTGATAGGAACATCGCTATTTAACTGAAATGCCATAACATTTCCATTTCTGTTTTTTTCTGCATTTTTTTCATACAATTTATTACTATACCTATAGATAGATAAACGAATACTGATTAACAGTGAGTTTGTGTAGTTTTCAGTGTTCAGTAATTCTAATTTTTAGGTTTCTATCGTTTCTTTTTATTGCTTCTGTTTCGCTGCAACTTATTCACAACAAAAATAAGAATAATAAAGATAAAACTCAAGAAAATTAGTTTAAAAAAAAATTTAGAGCTAAAAAACAAGATTATATGTGGTATTATCATTGTTACAAATGTTACTGTAATTTGAAATAACAAGAAAAAAAATCATTATGAATTTATCTCTTAAATTAATGATGCAATTCTTTGAAAAAAATTGGTTAAGAAGAAAAAATTGAGATAAATTGCGTTAAAACCTTTCAAGCTGCATTTGAAAGTAATACCTTCTATATTTTTATCTCATTTCTACTCCTTTTTTTTTTTGTCATCTGTTTCTTTTCTAGATAAAAAAGCCAGTTTTGTCTAGACAAATTAATTTGTCTAGTTTAATGGAAAGTAATAATACTTTTTGTTCTTGCTTTTTCATTTTCTATTTTATTTATGCTTTTTCAAAAACAATTCTTAGTGATATTATCTACCTTAAAGTTTTTTTTGCAACCACTGCTGGCTGCATCAACAACAAATTAAACTTCAAAAAACATCAAAACTATTGAGTATCATTTTTTTTTTTTTTGGAAAAAATTGCTTAAAGAGGGAAAGCTTTAGATAAGGAAAAAATAACACCAGCAACAAAAGAAAGGCAAAAGAGAAAGCAATAAAAATAGCAAAAAAAAGAAGCATTTTTGAAGATTATACTATGATAAAGCAGAAAAAAAAAGCTATAATATACTTCGATTATTTTCATAATTGCTTTAACGTATCTAAAAACCTCAACTAAAAAACCTCGTAACTTTGCTGTGCATACACTTTTTTTCAACAGTTCTTACAGCAGTTATTTTTTCCTCATTTTTTTCACACCAAAACTTTTCATTCATAATTAAAGCTTAAAAACTAGACGATTTTTACATTAATTTG